GTAAAATATATAAGGATACTTCCAGTATTCCTTTAAATCAACGGCTCAACAGACTAATATAATACTTGGAGACAGTCTTTATTTTGATGCTTGTAGAGGATTTCGGTGCACGAAACATGAAAAATACGCAATGCCTTCGCGGATGTTCGGATTCCGGACCTTCCGATTGACTGCTGGTGTGCTTTCCCATTACGAAGGCACGTGATAAGGAAAGAGAAAATAACTCACATTCTCCTCCAGATAACGGCCAGTACGATGAAGAAGCACGCTAAACCTGGCAGTGACGAATTTTCATATACCATATTTTAGTTCGAGCGACGATTAGAATGAATTTGGATTTTTTTCTTTTGGAGAGCGTGAGAAATCAGCTACGCTTTCGCTGGGATTTGAATTCCAGACTTTTCCGCTTTCCAGCCTTACACGATTTCCAATTAGATCACAGATAAAGAGGGAGAAAATACGGGCTAAACGATTTCACGAACTATCTCCAAGTTCTGAATAAATTAAAAATACGAAATTATCTAATTGATTTGACAGGGCATAGATATTGTGATATAAATATTTTTTAGAGTTACTTTTATATGAAAGATTAAATTAAATTTTAATTAAACATTCTTGATTAAGCCTTGATTACCTGAGAAAATAATGCACTACCATACAAGTTCAGACATTTAACAAAAGCGAAGTTTTAAAATTTTAAGCAAATCTAATTTCTAGAAAGTAGCGGATGTGTAAAGTAGTTAATAATTATACAAGTGCAAAATTAAATTAGATTAAATATGGTAAAATTAAATTACATTAGATTTAAATGAGACAGTCGTTCTGATTAAGTCTTACTCACAATACGCAGTGGATAAACTTAAGTTTTTTGCGAACATTATAATATAAACACAGTATATTTTGTACATAAAAACATAAATCAAGATTTAGCCTAAGCTAACCAATTAGTAGGGAAATCACCTAAGTAAAACCATATAAAACAGATTTCTGTCCACAAAATAAAGTAAATAAATAAATAAAACTATTTTTTTCACTTATCATTAATCGATTTGTTGCCGAAGTGTTGGAGAACGAGATTTCAATACATGTAATGAACAAATGTAAAGCACGTAATGAACAAATTTAGTAAATCAATGAAATATTTTTTCCGTACTCGCTATCCCACTTGTCAACAATGTAATATTTACAACAAAATGTTTCTACTATATTTTCCATGTAGAATCTAAGAGCTATCACGCTATGTCGCTGTAGCAAACACATGTATACAATGTGGAAGAAACGAAATGCATTTGAATGTATTACAGACACATGCGTAACTCATATCAAAATTGATTTAAAATTGGTAACCAAGATATTCAACTCCTAAATGTTTAGCTTTCTGAAGGAAAGCCATGTATTTAGAAGTAATTTTTTAAGCAAATTACGATTTAGAAATCATATGGATTACGTACTCTTATAACAATGAATGTATTTATGAATATGTATACCTTGCCACTGAAAGTAAAAGATAAATTTAGCGAACAATTATTCACCCTATTTCTGTATGCTTCTCCAACATAGGCTATTGCAACTTCTGGTCGAAGAAAAAAAATCAAGTTGTTTAGAAAAAGCGTCTAAGATCTATCCTTAATGCTCTGTGGTATGCGACTACAGCATAAATCCTCCATAATTAAAAAAAAATTGATTCTGCTGTCTCCATAATAATTATAAATTTGAACTATTTATTTCAAATATTAGCTGTCTCTTCATATTAAACCATCTCTTTAGTTATCTAAGATATAACACTGGATTATAAATTTAAAAGATCTAAAATCGTATTACACGATATTAATTTGAAATCTTGTTTTTTTTTTTTTTTTTTTTTTTCTTTTTTTTTTTTTTCCCAATTTCATCGAATATTTTCGAACTCTGTCAACAGATGGCACTACTAGTATCATTCTCTGCAAAGTAACACAATGGGGAACAGTATTGAACTTCTGAATTCCTCATTCCACGAAGTTCTCACACTCTTGCCTATCACTTCAAACTTTACATTACGATAATGCCTAATGAACTCTTTCAAATGTAGTATGTGCACGGCTACTTCAATCGCTCTGCACGTATTCAAGCAAAGCTTCGTGGAATGAATTCCTCATTCCACGAAGTTCTGACACTCTTGCCTATCACTTAAAACTTTACATTACGATAATGCCTAATGAACTCTTTCAAATGTAGTATGTGCACGGCTACTTCAATCGCTCTGCACGTATTCAAGCAAAGCGACGATTTCAATTTCGTCATCATAAATGTAGTCTAATTAAGAAATGAAAGTGTAAATTGTAATTCAGTTCAAATGAAATTGTACGGTATGATCAAAGTGTCTATTAACATGTTAAAACTGATCACGTCTTTCCTAAAATGTGCCTGGCAGGTGTCTGGCTTAAGACCTCTCTTCTTTAATATCTACATAAATGACACGCCGGAATTGCTCAGAAGTACAATTACCAAGTATGCTGAAGACACTGTAGTAATGACAAATTCCGTGAAACAGAAATTGATAATTTGCATTTCAGCGTAAATATTGTCTCCCACTGGTGGAATCTTTGGAAAGGTTATAAGATATTTCTCTCGTCTTCTTAGCATGCCTTCGTTCCCTATTCGGGCGACACTGTAGAGAAAATAGCTAATTTTTGAAAGCAGAAGAAATGAAGAATGAGCAATGCCCTCGCAGGGACTTGAATCACGGACCTATCGAATACGCGTCGAGTGTGCTGACCACTACACTACGAAAGCATGCTAAGAAGGCGGGAGATAAACATTATAAGGTAAGCTTAAAGCCATGTCATCCTTTTCAGAAGGTATAAGAAAATACAAGCTATCAGCCTTAACATACGGATCAAAAACCAACGCTTATATCCATCAAGACAATCCATAAAGTTTCAAAGAACTAGCTGAACCTGCTTTAAACCAAGCTAATGCTACTTTTATGGCAATTTACAGTACTACAGAGTGGAAATCAAGGTTTCATGTTAAAGTAGAAGGGACAGTTTATCTGGTTTTAATACTTCGAGTATTTTTTACGCTACTCCTATACGTGCAACAGAGCTAAAAACCTGTAAGAAAGGAAATCGCTGTCTTTCAGAATACGATTCTGAAAGCGATTACAAACGCCCCGCGGCTTTTAAGGAGCCAGCAAATTACTGAAAACCTAAAAATACAAAACTCTCAAGACTTTATTCTGAGAAGTTCTAATAATTTTTTTGCACAGATCAGGAGTTCAAGCTATACCTATGCTCCTAAATTGGCAATATGATCCATTGGCCGAACATCCGTCCAAACGGTATCGAACCAATCATCAGAATACTGCTTTTTTAGCAGTAACTTGTGACTGCATATAATGTATGCAGTATTTACGCACCTAATTATTCATGAATGCACCTAACAACTCAAGAATGATTTAGTATGCTCAAATACTGTGCATTTTGGTTTTCATAATATGTTTGAAAAATTCAACTCTGTATATTATTCCAAGCTCCTAGCCTGCATTTAGTTTAGTGTTTCCATCTATGTTTGTGTTTATATTTTTACAAAGCTACTTATGTTATCTCAATGTCCCTTTTGCTGTGTATATCAAGTTCTATATTTCCATCATTTCTGGATGCTCAGACGCCTATGCACAGTATTCATTTCTGCGTGCCAGTTTTTATTACCAGCTCGAACAACTATAATTCTCGTTCCGCTTATCGGCGGAGCTTTTGTTTCAGATTTAACATGTCAATGGTCAAGAGCATCATCATCTATTTTATAGGTTAAAACCGCAATGGCTGTACGCTGGATTAACCCATTATGGTGAAAAGTAAACGGTGTTTTGTCTTAATGATCATAATTATCAATAACCAAATCTTAGTCTAGCTATGTATGTAGCATAAATCAAAAAATATATCTGGTAATATTATCATACAAGATTTCTCATCAGTTTGGATGTTTTGAGCAAAATAATATAAAATGAACTAGTGTATCAAAAGTGAGTTTTGTAGCTTATCATAAAAGCAGGTATGTTTTGCCGAAACTATATTTGTTCAGTTTCTAACCAATGGGAGCACTTTTAATATACTCTCTGAGAACAGAATAGAGAAAGTTGAGAGAGCTTTAAGCATTTTTGTCTTTGCATGTGCGAGCATACTAGAATACTATTAATAATGTAGCAGTCTATCATAAACTCTGAAATGAAAGAGATATTTGACTTTGCACATTTTCATGATGTACATGTATAAGTTAAAATCTCAACTGAAAACTAAACTGTGTCATATTCCCCCCACCCTCCCATGAAAACATTCGCCGCTGCGATGAGTCGTAAGGTCAAAGTGCACTCTGAGAGGCCAATTGGTTGATTTTAAATAATTTATTAAAAATGACAAAATTAAAATTTTTTATATATGTATTTACATTTAGCGACTTGCTCTGTATACTGAAACCGTAAAAAGATGTGAATTCACATTTTCTAAAAATATTTTAAGTGAAAATTTGTGTTAATTTAAAAGTTTTTAATATAAATCTGGGATTTATATATGTTTTACTTTAACCATTGAAGGATTCTAGAAATTTTGAAAATATTGATTCATTGAAATTTAATTAAAGCACATTTTCGATCACCTGTAATTTTGAGTTAGCTATTTTTAAAGTAACAAAATTGATTGGATGCCAAAAAAATGCAAATAAAACTTTCATTATTTTAACTTGAACTATATTTGTTACAATTCATTATCTGTGGTGTTTTAACTTTTGTATTCTTGATTTTTGAAGACTGCTAACAGTAATGAATTACATTAAATACATTAATTACATCATTACATTAAATATTTTATCCCTTATATTTCACTTATTTCCTTATTATTGTCTATGCCAATGCTTATTGTTTCAGTAGGGTTTCTTTGAATAGTTTTATTAGTACTTTGTTTTAACAAATGCTTTTGGATATTTGGCTTTCTTGTATAAATATTTAAATATTATTTATCTTTCAGGGAATTCTGACTTTCATATTCTTTTGCTTCATGGATAACAACGTAAGTTATTTGTTATTTTCGTGTTGTAATGATATATTTCCATCGACAAACCTTGCAAACCAAAGCGCCATTAATATCAAATTGTTTTCATAGTAGCATTCAATTATCACGCAGTGAATGTTCTTGTAATAAGCAGGGGGAAAATATATCATTCATTCCGTATAAAAAAGTTGACTTCAAATTAAGAAGTAAATTTATTAGCTGAAAAAACAGCTACAGAAATTTTCAAAGAAGTAAAACTTTGTAGATTCATGCTGCTGACTTTCATAAATAATTGAGTTCATTTGATTGTATTGCTGCCTTAGTATACTGTTAATGATGTGTATAAATTTATTTGTTACACTTCAGGAAATAATTTTAGGGTGTATTAATCTGCAATTAAACTTGAGACCACATATTTATTTTGTAGCTGTTTATTTCTTGTATAAAACTGTATCTCAGCTTTTAAATTTGGAAAATTGCTCAATTAAAAACTGAGGTATTAGCAAAAACTCTTTTGACGTGTATTGATTAAATTTTAGCCAGGTCGACGATATTCTACAATTTCTTGCTAACTTAGCAAATATTCGGAATTTTAACACTTTTTTGAAGCCGCCCAGATGGTATAGTGGTTAGAAGAGCCTGACTGCGATACCGAAGGGCCTGTAAGTTTGAATCCCGGAGAATCATGGTTGTAACTGTCCGTGCCTTTATAGGAGGTAATGGTGGCCCACCTATTAGGTGCTTCATAATAAAGAGACCTCCACATCTGGCCTTAGTACAGATTAATGGACTCTGTTACAAAAACTATAACTGTTCACAATCTGCCATTGGGGGGAAAAAAACACTTTTCTGCGACATTTCTGGAAGTTTCAGAAGACGAGGCAATGCAGTTTAATTTAGTTCTAAGTTACTACAGAGATATTGAAGTGTTAGTGAACTTTGTAGCTTGATGTTTACACTGCACCGTGATATATTTAATCGGAAATATTTCTTGTGTGTTAAGAAGAATTTGCTTTATCACTACGTTCTTCTCGAGTTACTTACGGATATTTATTTTGCAGTGTATTGTCACTAATTTTAATAATGTTCTATTTCTTTCTATTCATTTCACATAATTAGTGAATAAATAATGGAATCAAAATCAAGATGTAGCAAAATTTATCTGTAGCTTTTTTTCTTTCTGTGTAAAAGTTCTTAAAGAAACAAGTCATCATACGAAAACATACTTTATTTTATCAGATGCAAACTTGCTATTCTTTGATTGAAAGTCTTATGACGTATGGAATTTCCTAAATGAATTAATAAATTTCAAAACTGAGATATATAAAATATATTAGCGGAAAAGAACTATGCACGATTTTGTATGCTTTAACTTCATTTGAGAATTATTAATTTTTATTCTCTATATATAGGAGCTAGACAAATAAAAGATTAATCTACTGAAAAAAATTAATAAAGAAGAAATATATATCTTTTATGATTCTAACTTTAATTTTTTAACAAAGTATTTGCCCTTTATTCTGGCAAATGCGGTATTTCAAGGACACTGCGTTTATCAGTATCGAAAGCAAACCTATTCTAAGCGATAACCTGATAATGCAAAAGTCAATAGTTTGGAGATATCATAGGCATTTTGGGGCCCAAACGTAAAAATGCATGAAACAATATGCATTTATGTTAATTTAGACTAGTTGTTAATTTGCACAAAAATTCTAAAAGCTCGATTTACATTCTTAGCTGCTAAATTTTACAGTTATTAATTTTAGAATAAAATTCCTGATCGGATATTTGTGATTTATCAATAAATAGGAGAGAATTTTAAAAAAAAAAAAAAACCTAAATGATTTTTGGACTGTTAGCTATTAATAATGCAGATTTATTTTAAAAAAATGGGTTAAGTTTCTCATCTTGGAAAAACATTCAGTATCCATTATAAAAAATATTTCATAAAACTCCTCGGTTTTCTTAAGTGATCAGAAAAATAGACGTTCAGTTGTTACTACGATAAGTTAGCAATTTCTTAAATTATCGAAAATATTTGGATATGACACAATTTATAATACTTTGTAGTGTATTTTTCTTTTAAAAAAAATTTTTAAAGCAAGGAAACTAAAGAATTCCGCAATGCGATTGCCGGGATTCAAACTGCGGACCTTCAGAACACGCGTCGAGTGAACTTCTAGTTACACCACTAAGGCATGTGGAAAGGAGGGAGAAAATACCTTACAGCCTTAAAATATTTTTCAAAACATTTGAAACAATATTCAGAAATTGAAGGTTTTTCACTCTGCGTGCAGGCTGGCCAAATGTAACACACGCATTCAAAATGCTAAATCACCGTTTGATGCTATAAAATAGATTCTATTCAATAAATGTCAAATCTACAAAAGTAAAATCCACATGTATTATGCAACAAGGTATGTTTTGCCAGTTAAAATGTATTGCTCAATAATCGCAGTAATTTCCTTCTTTCTAAAAATTACGAACCTCGTAATGACCAAACGATAATGGTAGATCTCTATCTGATACCAAATATTCATAATATTTCAGCACTTTTGTGCAAAAAAATTATTTCTCAAAAGATTTAGTCGTGCATCCATTTTGTCTATATTTTGTGTTCTCAGGAAACCTCAGTTTTTTAACGTTTATTTCCTGAAGAATCTATAAAATTGGCTCAATTAAATGGAACTCACTCAGCGTAAATAGAAAGTTCTATGTGAATACTGGCATAAAAAAATTTTGCATATGCTAAGAAGATGAATTTTAAGTTTTACAGGTAATAGAATGAATAAATAAATAAATTCAAAGTAAAAATAAGCATAAATAAACATGGAATTATTTCTAATTATAATTTCGAAGAAACTATGTCCATTATTGCTGCTGGAAAAATTTGCAGTAGAAGTGTAGTGATACAAAACAGAAGCTAGAGTATTTCGTCAAAAGAAGTGTGGTGGAGATGGCAAACAGCAGTTTTTCAGGCCTACCATAAAAGTGGAATCAAAATCAATTCACAAATTTGCTGTATACGAAAATTTACAACACTTTAAAGGAATCTAAATCAGTAGGCAGATAAATAGAAGCAAAATTTTGGTCAAACTAAAATTTAATTTTCTATTTAGCATCTTAAATAGGATTTCCTTTCTCAAGAGAGTATCAGAATTTAATGAATGAAGGAACCTGCAGTATTCTGTACAAAACATTAGTAACGAAAACGGTATAAGATGGGTGACACAAATTTTGAATGCTGATGAAAACAACAACCCAAAGGAAGATTACAGTGAAATTTAGATACAACATTACACTACTGTGTCAAAGCAGAGGGCAGAGAATGATGAAAGTGTGCAGAAGAAGATGAAGACCGTTTTGTCAGTGATGAATACTGAAAAATATTTCCAAAGAATAATCTTGACTGATTAGTTGGAAAAGGAGATAGCTGGAGCCTACTATCATTAGTCTGTTTGAAAAGAAAATTAATTGAAACAAGAAATACGAGATTTATATGTTAAAAAATGTATTTTTTATTCCACAAATTGAATGAAGCAATGGAAAAATTGTATATTGTAAATTCAGAACTGCTTTTTCATCCATCCTGCTCTCCAGGATGTTTTTGGAAATGTTCCTTTTCCACATAACCTGAGAACTTAATTCGGTGAAAAGAAATTCTATTTGTGGCACAAATTCTCTAGTCTATTTTTACTGTCGAGAGCCGTGGGAATAGTGATATGATTGCGAAGATGCTGAGATTAGCCAGTAGTAGAGGCACAAAGACAAAATCTTTGACCATCTCCCACTAGAAAACTTTACATGGGATTAAGTGTGATGATTGAAGGCGGTTCAATATCAACTCATACTTTCCTCTTCTTTAACCTAGTGGCAAATTTTGAATGAGATACTTCGTAGATGGTGTCTGTGGTCACAGACACCATTTACGAAGTGTGTGGTAAGTGACAGGAGAACGTGGACACCATCCGTCTAACATATAATCAATTGGTATACCACCATGCCCACCTTTATCTTAATTAAAAGTAAATCCATAAATACATATGTACATGGTTAAATACACATATAGTTATATACATGTACACTGTGTGTTTGTAAAGTCATGGTACACTTTTGACCGGTCACAGAAAAGATAGAAATGTGAAATCTTCACCAAATAAAAGGTGTGTGTGTATTTAATTATGGCAAAGCACACGAGGGGCTATCTGCCTAAGGGGAGGGATGCCTTTCGTGGAGGACTTTCTAAGGGAAACTGGCTCGTATACACGTTACACATGGGGAAAACCACGAAAACGCCCATGCAGCCAGCCCGTTCGCGGGATTCGAACCTCGGACCGAACTACCAGTGTTCAGCGACTTTACCGCTCGGCCGCTGGTGGGCCTCACCAAATAAAAGGAAAACTTTTTATGTTTTCGTAGTATGATGTGCAAGGGTATGCGCACACAGGTGATGACGCAACACCACGAAATGCACAGCAGCGGATCAGCCATTAGACTTCTATTTGCGGGGTTATGTGAAGCACGAAGAGTACAAGAAGTTCTGTTCCGGTTCTGAAATACAAGAAGCCACAAACTTCGCCAAAGTCCTACAGGCTAATTAATCTACTACTTTCTTTAAGCAAGATGGTTGAAGCAGCGATCATGAATATAATTCGTTCTTTCATGGTAGCAAGCCAGACAGAAAACTTGCTGAAAGTTATTATCACCACTGTTTTCATTAAACTGTTGAATCAACTATCTTTTCAGTGTGTTCAATCTTCTTAATCTTTTCAATGGCATATAAGTGTCTGCTGTAGTAGTAGCAAAGGTTGACAAACTGATCATTTGGGGAGAAATATGTAAAAGCAACTTGATAAGTGTATCTCGATTTCGATGGAGCGAAATGTGGTAGTGGTTACGTAATTTATTTGCTTTGAATTTTTAAAATGTTTCATGAAATTATAAATAACTCTACATCATTATACAGCTCATCATTTTTATTTTATGACTGATTAATCATTTTTTCTCTTGCTCCGAAGACTGCCAAATTATGCATAAGGGAATAGTTGAATATATAAATAAAAATGTAAATTGATTGTTATGAATAAGTATAACTATAATTATATCGCATATGGCTTTTACTGAGAACTATTTAACATTAGCAGAAAAGCTGTAAATACTGAAATGAATTGTAAGTGACTTTCATATCTTTAAAAATAATCTCTTTAGCTTGTTTCTAAATTAATTATACAAATCCTTTAATTCAAGAAAGAAACGTTTCTTAAGTACTTTTTACTTCAGTTTACTTCAGGTTTTCGGTTACTTAAGTAAGTTTTGTATAATGGGCTGCTCAGACGGGAAAGTGGATAGTGACCCTGACTGCCTTACCGAAGGGCCTGGGTTCGAATCCCGGAGAAAGCATAGATGCAAATCTATCCCTTCATAGGAGGCAACGGTGGCTTGCCTATTAAGTGCTTCCATAATAGTGACCATCGTTTCTAGCCTTAGTAGTGGTCAACGCCTATAACGGCTTCTGCCCACCATTGAAACTAATAAAAGAAGTATTGCATAATTTACTTAAAAACGAGATTGCTCAAAAAGAACTGATAGTACGGATAAATATGCTACTTAACATTTATTCTGAAACTTTATTGTATCAGATATTTATAACTGATCTTATTATGAAATTTCTCTAGTAGATATCCTAAATAAAAATAAAATAAAAATAATTTATATCTTTTTAATTAACATAAAATAAATGTCTTTTTCTTAATGTTTTTTCGGTTACGAATCATTTTAGTGAATTTCTAGTTTCTTTCACTTAATGTTTTTTCAGGTTACCTTTCAAGTTTAAATGATATTTGTATTGAAAACTGACAAATTTGTCCTTACTGAATGTTTTTTCTAAATAAAGTTTGTATGTTACTTTCCATATTCAAATATCGTTTAAATTAAATATGATAAGAGTTTTGTCTTTGTTTAACGTTTTATATTTATTAAACCCACTTTGTATGTTACATTCCAGGTTCAAATGCCATTTGAATTGATGATGATGATAATTTTGGTTTTCTTTTAAGTTTTTCTGAACAATTTATACATTACCTTTCATGTTCAAATATCATTTCCATTTAATATTCTTCTAAGCACAATTTACATGTCACTTTCCAGTTTCAAATGTCATTTAGACTGAAGATGAAGGTATTCTTAACTTTGTAACAATTTTTATATAAGCGCAGTTTGTGTATTGTTATCTTCCAGGTTCAAATGCCATTTGGACTGAAGATGATGGGATTTTTATCTTTACTTAATATTTTCATAAACACAATTTGTACATTTCATTCAATGGTACATTTCAGGTTCAAATGTCATTTAGACTGAAGATGATGGCAATTACCAAAAAGCCAAAGGTTTCTGCAATGAAGTTGAAAAAGAGCGGTTCTTTTCCCGTAATTGAAAGATCTTTAATATCTCTCACAGATGATAACAGACGACTCGACTGCACTCCACTGTTATCGAACAGATTGCCATACAGTGACGCTTCTGAAGATCCTTGCTGCTCCAATATACGGGTATAAATGAGAAACAGGTTGATGTTAATCAATGTTGCCTAGAGGGAACATGGCTATCATAAAATATTACTAAATTTATTCCTGTAAACATTTGCAACTATATTAGGCTTTGAAGGCCTTTGGTTTTGAACTTCTAGTTATAAATATAAAATATTTTGGTGAAGTTAAGATTAAATAATAGAAGTTTCAAATTTAAATAAGATCGTTTTAAGTATCAAAACTTAGAATAATGAAGTACAAATGAAAAAATTTCACTTAATTGCACAAAAGTATCAGAAGTAATTATCTGTTCACAGTAGGCATTTTAATGAAGAATCCATGATTCTTTGCAGTTTTAAGATAAAGATTTTATTGCTCTAATTATTTGCAGATTTTTACTAAGCTGATAATCTATTAGGTGAAACTTACATTTTTTTCCATGTAGAATTTTGAGTGCTTCAAAATTGTTAAATACAGAGAAAGTAAACAAGGTAAGATAATTTCTTTGCATAACGGCATTAAACATAACTGCGTAGTGCTGCGCTTAAGATACAGAGTAAATAAATTATGTCTTTATACTTAGAAAATTTTACATTCACTATGGTTACATATATTGTAAAAATCTAACTAAAAGATACTAAATTTTATAGACAGAGCCGTAGTAAGCAAATCACTTCCTTCCGTATCAGATTTGATAGAGCAAATCATTTTATAATTCTCGTATGTCTGTTATGTTTAGTATGTTCCACAGTTTGACTCATATCCTAAAATTCCATTAACACTTACACACTAAAAAAAAAAAAAAAAAAAAAAAAAAAAAAAAAAAAAAAATCTTTCTAAATGATAATTAATATGATATGAAGTTTGTGGTTTATAAATAATTTAGCTCCTTAAATTAATGAATAGTTTTAGTTATTTACCTCAATAAATACCTTAGGTATTGGGTACATATTAAGTAAAAAATAAATAGGTTAAGTATATATTATAGGTAAAATTAATAACTCATATAAAGGTACAAAAATCTGTACAAATGCATTTACTAAAATGTAACCGTCCACATTTTATTTTAAATTATTTATGTCCAAATCTTTTGGGAAGCTGTTGATAACTAAAGTTATCCTTTATTTTATATACCGCTTTTGATGTTCAATTTCAGTAAATATTTACTTACATTTGAAAATCATTTTTAAAACGTATTTCTTATCTTTTTAAAAAGCAATAATGATACGAAATATATTACTATGTTAATCATACATTTATGTTCAAAACCATTCATAGGACGATTATTACTTTTGTGAAACTATTCTCTAGCCAATAGTTTGAATCTATATCTGTAGCTGATACGCAAAGCTTAGATATGCTTAATGTAGCATTTTATGCCATAAAGTTCGAAATGACTCATGCCGTTACGCATAGTGGTATACTGACAGGTGTTTCAAACATGTTTCAGAAGATGATTATAAAAACACATTATCATTGTCTTATAAACTTAGTGGCGTATCAGCCCTAATGGGCCAAGGCCTGCAGTGCCCGAAATCTATTTTCTTGATCGTGGGCTCTGGGGTGCGTAAGCATATGCCCTGAACAAGTGGTCAGCTTATCGCAGGACCCCCAGTGTTTAGTCCCCAAGCGAACTTGGTACTCATTTTATCTACCTAAGTGATGGAAATCAAGGGATGAAAAGCACCATTGTCTTATAGATCGAAAAAATTAACGGCGTTCATTCTATAACACTGATATCTAAAATAGTATTTTTGAAGCCGATCTTAAATTATTTAAATGAAATTTAAATGATATTTTAGAACGCTATCGTTTGAATAATATGCATTTAATAATAAAAAATATGTATAAACCCAGATAAGTCGGTCATAGCTCAAATTATAGGACAACTGCTCCTTTATACCGTAAAATTCCTTAGCTTGGAATATTATCACTTTTATAAATTTGTAACGTTTCTAATAACAACGCGTATTCCTTAAAGCTAACAGTAACAGCTGGATCGAAAAAGCATAGTTCTTCCATGACGGCACATCTTTGTACTTAAATGTTCCGGAAAAAAGCTAAACACCTGAAATAAATTTTATTGAGAATCTCAATCCTGCTTAACATGATTCAAGTTAAGAGATTTAAATTGCTTGCAATTTTTCAAATATTCTTATGCCTCTGAAATAATCTAAAATATATATTCTCTTAGTTTATCATTTCTTCTCCACTGAAGGAAAACTGACAATTTTGTAAAAATAGTTTTCCTAGCAAATCGCACAAAAAGGTGTTATTATGGGGCGAAGCCCCCAGTCTACCTAACCAAGAAATCTCGGAGGTATGACTTAGAAAGTGACCTGCCCTTCCAACAACAAACGATGGCATCCAGCGACCCGGCAATGTCCAAAGAAAAAAGAATTAAAATTAAAGTCAAAAAATCAAAACATTAAATACAAAATCTTATCTAAAATCGCACAAAAGTATAAGATTTCGTATTTTCAGAGAGTAGCATTATTAGATTGTTCTTTTAAGCTTATGACGTATGTTGAGAAGAATTTTAACCCGATGTCATCTTCAAATTGGCTGGAAAAGGAATTTTGTCACGAATAGGTAAAATATCACGATGGATGCGATTTTCCCTCTGGAGGAAATTTTGAGTACAGATTGTAAATTAATCTTTGAATTATTTATGAAAGGAAAATATATGAAAAACATTTATCATAATTTTAGGGAAGATCTAACATAAAATAATTGGTTATCTAACACACAACCTCTGTAAACAAGTCTACAACTTACCATGTCATAGGTATTTAAAAACTTACAGGAATCTCAAGCTCTGCTACGAATTAGCATATAGGTGTTGAAAAGGGTCATCAAAAAGTATCAATATTTTGATTAGCCTCAGTTAGAACTTCGTGACATTTCTCTAGTGCCGTTGCATTTTTGCCTTGACAGAGAAACTCCTCTTAATGGATGTCTGTATAAGGTCAGAGATAAAAATCTCTTTTCATTAAGATGATTATTATTCAGAGGTCTCGGAAACCTAATTAGAAAAAAATCATCGTAATTAAAAGAAAATCATCCTGAGTAAGATTTTCGCCTGACTTACATTTTTGTTAACTACTTTCATGCTTACAAAATCAATCACAGCAGCAGCATTATATTACAAATGAAATCGCATTTACATTGTAACAATCTCTGACCAGGCGTAATGTTCTAATAGTCTGATAACTCATGGTTATCGAAAATTGGCTTTTAGATGTTACGAAAAGATATAAAATTATCGAAAAGATATAAAATTACATTGGGTAAATGTTGATATAACATTTATTATACTTCCGAAGATTTTCGTGAAAAAGTTTCTCTTCTTTTTTTCGCCTGTTTGTTAACAATGTATGAATCCTAACTATCTAAGTTTTATCAGGACTGGGCGATTTATCATCCCATCCTAATTCCTCAGTAAAGTAACACCTTGTCATAATAATAATTAAAACAAACCGTTTTATTAAATCTTTAGTTTAACAATTTACACACTTCCTGTCATAATAGAAGACTCTGCTACTTATGGATTTTACACAGCAAAACGTTAAAGTGCATCTTATTATTTTCAAATGTGAAACTTCAAGTTTAAATCGTGCTCCCATAAGTTTTGTCTCTGATTCCAGACACACATGAGTAAATACGGCTAACAGTTAATAATTAGTTAATAACATAAAAAAAACCTACAAGGAGAAAGGAAAGCTTTTTTTTCAAAAAGACTTTAGGGGATTTGCGAAAGGAGCTTTTATTGTGAGACATCGGGAGGTAGAATTTGCATAGCCAGCAAAAAACGCGAGCTCCGGTTCTGCTTTTATGAACTACTAAAATGCTAATGCTCATTCATTACAACAAAAGATTGGTGTAAGTATAAAGTATGCAATTATATTATAATTCCATATTCAGCTTCACTTCACTTTAGCAAATGCATCTTCATTGTCTTCCGCAAACGCACATCATTATTAAACTAAACTCTGCAGCACAAACAGCCCTTAGAGAGCCATGACCGACAGTGCTCTGATATCTGCTTTCTAGACTGTGGGCCTCGGAATGCTTGTGCATATTACCTGGACAAGTGGTCAGCTTGTCGCGGGATCTCCGGTGTCCCCAAGAGAACTTGGTACTTACTTTATCGACCCTCTCAAGGAATGAAAGGCTGAGTCAACCTTGCTCAGCCCGGGGATCGAACCCGAAGAGCCCGGGGAGGAAGTAGAATGCGTACAACACTCCTTTGCCATTTTGTCCGTCGTAAATGACTGTACGAAATTGTCGTAAATGACTGTACGAAATTGTCGTAAATGACTGTACGAAATGGAATCCACTGGAGATGAATTTTACCGTGCAGCGAAACCAGGTCATTGAAATCTAGTTATTAAGATGTTTTAGACAATTACGGCTACTAGATAAGATCCATAGTTCGCCAAATTATTCAGCAGAATACATTCGAGTCCGACTTCAGTTGCTCGTAATTCGCTTCTGAAAACCGAATAGCAATTCGGGTTACGTAGAAAAAAAATGTATTTATTCCTGAGAAGTCTTAATATAAATTCATTTGCCTGTATAGTCAGCAATTTTGCTATCATCAGTGAGTATCTTGATGGCATTATTTGCTATGCGGTTTTGATTTCCGAGGTTTAAGGTAGTCGACGACAAAATCCTCTTGTTGACAGGAGAGGGAAAATTAAAATGAAAGTGTCTCCATGAGAACCCGTCCGAAGGATTCAAACAATATTGTATAGTGTGGAACTCGACGTCACAATTATATAAGTACTGAGACGCGATTTGACTGAAAGGACTGTTTTTCTTTAATATTTGATGGTTTTCCCATTTACTAAGGTTTTTTTCTTGTTGTTTGGCCACTATGTTGTGTTGTCTTGGCCATAACTAGAAATTTTTTTTTATTGTCTTTTAAAAATCTCAGCTGTGTTTTAAATTGAAGGGGTTGCAAGTCGATCTCAGAAGGGACAGTTTTTGAAGTAAAGCTAGGCCTCATATCAATAATG